CACCTATATTTCCTTTTAAATTTCTTATATCAAACGATCATCTCCCAGCACCCTTCCTATGTCTACTGTCTCCTCAATAAAAACGAGATCCCGTGATTCTGACCTCTATATTCCATTCCACAAGACAAAAACCTATGAACGTTTCTTCTTAGCCCGCTCCGTCACCTACTGGAATTCTTAACATATAACAATAAATAACATCCGTCATGCCTTTTCACTGTCAACCTTCAAATACCTCCTTTTCCAATATCTCCTTACATCCCTAACAGATTTATCCTGGGATGAGGTCCCTTATGAATAACAGTTATGAACAAAAAAATAAAAACCACATCTGGCCATAAATTACATTAATCAATATTAAAGAAAATAAACAGTATCTCAGTAAAAGTATATTAAAAGAAGTACTAATCACACCATTTTGAAAAAACAAAAACATTATTTAAATGGAAAAACAAAACAAAATAATGTAAGCATGGGCTGATTTTAAAAATTAAAACTCAATCAATTTTAATAACCATTCGCCTCAGTCAAAACCTGTTTCACAATATTTCTTTCATTTTATAATGTCATTTTGGGATGTAAGAAGGAATTGGTAGAGATGATATTGAAATGAGGACAAGGAAGAGGCATGGCGGATATCAGATGGCAAGGAATTCCAGAAGGCAGTGGATCGGGCGATAAAGGAATATTCAAATGTCTTAGTTCTATAGGAAGGGATATAAAGGTCGGAAACACGGGAACTTGTTTTCTGGGAGTGGACAACAGGTTTGAACTGTAGGAGACTGTAGATGTAGGAAGGGTGTCGGGTGATGATCGTTTGGAATAGGAAAGATCCAAGGAAATATTGTCTGCGTAAAGAAAGGAAGAGCCGCTTCATCGTAAAGGTGGGACACATGAGACCGCCTCGATGTACCGAAGACAAATCTTAATCAGGTATTCATGAGTCGCTTCAATCCGTCGGGATGCCTCCGTACACCACACAGCCATGGTCAAAGTGGGGGAATATATATATATATATATATATATATATATATATATATATATATATATATATATAGAGAGAGAGAGAGAGAGAGAGAGAGTATAGTTATAAACAATACATTTTTAACTTTTGTGTCCCCTGACAAATTGGCCAGAGAAAATTTTCTTTAAATAGGGAAAAGTCAAGGAATTTTACTCTGACAGTTTGGTAGCTACTCTGCTTTTGGAAACCTTTTGTTGCACAAAAAAGAAATTGATTAATAAAAAATAACTTAAAAATCCATGCAAAGCAAAGGAATAAATTAATAACATACCTTTTGTTTAAAATTATATAAAATATTTTTTTCTCAGATTCTAGAGAACATTGAAATGAGATAAATATAGAATAAAAATGAAAAATTATTACAAGGAATATGAAGTTATATAAAGAAAATAATATAAATAAATACAAAAATTAAGATGTAGTGAAATCAATCAAAAATACTGTACGCATAGAAGCGAATTACAAAGTTATATAAAATAATGTAAATTAAGAAAATAGGTAATTTAAATAATTTTTTAATGAACAATTTCAGTTACAATCCATGAAGTGTTACCAATGGGTAGCTTCTTCACAAGTAATTTCATGTGATATAGCATTTCCAAGTCTATTTCAACCTTTTCCAAGTCAAATTCAACCTTTTTCAAATCAAATTAAACTTTTTCCTAGTCAAATTCAACCTTTTCCATTTCAAATTAAACCTTTTCCATTTCAAATTCAACCTTTTTTTATTTATTTAATTATCTTTAATTTTTCGATGTGTGGGTCTGTTATCGTATGAGTAGTTTTTGAAAATAACCTCCTTTTTAAGATTACTTGACTGAGTTTCGAATTATTTAAGTTTTTTTGAATTATTCGATATAAGGGTGTATTTTTATGTTTCCCGATCAGTAAATTTTGAAAATGACATCCATTTTATGTTTATGCCACTGTGTTTTGACTTATTTGTTTTTAGAATTTATCCAATATAAAGGTCTACTTTTATGTTTCTGGAGCCGTAGATTTTGAAAACGACCTCCATTTTAAGATTAGGCCACCGCGTTTCGACTTATTTGAGTTTTTCGGATATTTTTCATATGAGGGTGTATTTTTATGTTTCCGGGGCTGTAGATTTTGAAAATGACCTCCATTTTAAGATTAGGCCACCACGTTTCGACTTATTTGAGTTTTTCGGATATTTTTGATATGAGGGTGTATTTTTATGTTTCCGGAGCTGTAGATTTTGAAAATGACCTCCATTTTAAGATTACGCCACTGCGTTTCGACTTATTTAAGTTTTTTTTATTTATTCGATGTAAGGGTGTATTTTTATGTTTCCGGAGCTGTAGATTTTGAAAATGACCTCCATTTTATGATTACGCCATTGCATTTTGACTTATTTAAGTTTTTCGAATTTATCCAATTTAAAGGTCTACTTTTATGTTTTCGGAACCGTAGATTCTGAAAATGACCTCTATTTTATGATTATTTCACTGCGTTTCAACTTATTTAAGTTTTTAGAATTTAACAAGTATAAAGGGCTAATTTTATGTTTCTGGAGCAGTAGATTTCCCCCATTTTGTAAATGACCCAATTTCAAGTTTATGCCACTGTGTTTTGGATTATAAAAGTTTTTTTTTTTCCTTTTTCGGTATAAGGATCTACTTTTATGTTATCCGAGACGTATTGAAATTTTTCTAATCTTTAATATTTAAATTTATCTAATATTTAAGCTCCATTTTATGATTAAGCCGCTGCACCTCGAATAATTAGGCTTCATTTTGGATTTTTTCAATACAAAGTTTCATCAATATGTTTTCGAGTATGAATAAATAAATAAATATTATGAAGCTAAAGTTAAATTAACCACAGAATACAAACTAAAAAGCCGAAAAGCAGCTGGTAATAAATTTAACCTTCCGTATTCAGATTTTTCAGCTAATTGTTCGAAATCTTATAATTTTGTGACAGGAGACCACAACATTAAAAAAGATAACTAAAATTAAATTAAAAATGAGACAATACATATTTTATTTATTTTGATTAGATATTTTTATTTATTTATCGAAAAATAAATTAATCCTTCGTATTTTGTTTTATATTCGAAGGAAAAATAAAAACACTTAAAAAAACCGAAACACAGTGGCCTAATCTTAAAATGTAAGTCGTTTTAAAAACTAAGGCTCCGCCATCATAAAAGTAGACCTTTAAATTGGATAAATTCGAAAAACTTGAATAAGCCGAAACGCAGTGGCGTAATCTTAAAATGGAGGTCATTTTCAAAATCTACGACTCCGGAAACATAAGAACACACTCTTTTATGATAAAAATTCTAAACACTTAAAGAAATCGAAACGCGGTGGCCTAATCTTAAAATGGAGGTCGTTTTCAAAATCTACGGCTCCGGAAACATAAGAATACATCCTCATATGAAAAAAATCCGAAAAACTCAAATAAGTCGAAACGTGGTGGCCTAATCTTAAAATGGAGGTCGTTTTCAAAATCTACGGCTCCGGAAACATAAGAATACACCCTCATATGAAAAAAATCCGAAAATCTCAAATAAGCCGAAACGCGGTGGCCTAATCTTAAAATGGAGGTCGTTTTCAAAATCTACGGCTCCAGAAACATAAAAGTAGACCTTTATATTGGATAAATTCTAAAAACTTAAATAAGTCAAAACACAGTGGCATAAACATAAAATGGATGTCATTTTCAAAATTTACTGATCGGGAAACATAAAAATACACCCTTATATCGAATAAGTCAAAAAAACTTAAATGATTCGAAACGCAGTCACTTAATCTTAATATAGGGGTTATTTTCAAAACTATGTACAGGACAGCATAAAACTAGTCCTAACTAAGTCCCTAATAAATCCGAATAGGTACAATAAATCGATATCCGTAAGTGAAAATTCTACTTAGGAGAGCATAATAATAGACTTTCATATTGGAGGGGGGAAGGGGATGGCCATTATTAAAAAAAAATATAAGATTTACAAAAAATTAAAACATTAATTTGAAATGAAAACGGTTGAATTTGAATTGGAAAAGGTTTAATTTGAAATGGAAATGGTTGAATTTGACTTGGAAAAAGTTTAATTTGATCTGGAAAAGGTTGAATTTGACTTGGAAAAGGTTGAATTTGACTTGGAAATGACATAGAAATATCACACTGAAAAAATCTAAAATGTTAAAATAAATGGATATGCAACCGCGTTATCAAATTTTTTTTTGTATTTTTCAAAAGCTATGCCTTCGATAATATAGTAAGTGGCCTTCATTTAGAAAAAAATCGAAAATTGACAAAAATTTGAAAGTTGAATTTGAAATGGAAAAGGTTGAATTTGACTTGGAAAAGGTTGAATTTGAAATGGAAAAGGTTTAATTTGACTTGGAAAAGGTTGAATTTGATTTGGAAAAGGGTGAAATTGACTTGGAAATGCTATATATTCCTGTAGCAAATTTACTGGTTGTATATATGTTTACAGTTGTAACTTTCAATAAAATAAAAAATTATTAATTACGACGTTTCAACCATACTAAGGGCCATTTTCAAGTCTTAATGAGTTCTCCGTTATATATTCATCATTAATAATTTGTTCAGTGAACATTAAATTGTCCTGCTTTTTAGGGGTTTCGCCTACGTCATTTCTGGAGGGACTGAATTTCAGATAATTGGCCTAATTTATGTAAAAAATAAAACCTCAAGACACCAATTTTAGGAAAAATGAACGGAAAAAATAAATAAATAAAAAAGTTACAATCCTACTGAATTGTACCAATTACTACCCCAACACTGGGCTCCATAACATACAATAGCCTTTTTCACAGCATTTTAAGCATTAATTTTATCTTCAAAAGGAATGGATTTAGTATTTATCAATCTATTAATAAATTGGTATTAATATAAGCCTTTAAATTATTCTAGCATAAAAATATGCCATTTAAAAATATTTTCTTCATTTGGATTTTTTTTAATCATATATTTTTTAAAGTGTGTACCTACAGAGGTTGTTGAGAAAGAATTTTGGAGAATCGTTTCTACTTTGGATGCTGATATTACTGTTGAATATGGGGCTGATCTTCATTCCGTGGACCATGGATCTGGCTTTCCCACCAAATATTCAATAAATATAACAGAGGTAATAATTTTTTTATTTATTCTTTTTATTTCTGTTAGGCAGTTTTTTGTTATATAGGTGAAGGTGGCAATTACAACTTCTTGTTTGTGTCTGTTGTATATTTTTTGATTTATCACATTTATTTACAATTTGTTTAATGTTTTGTCCTTTGTCTGAAATATATTTACTATTGTTGAGTCCTATTTTTTTTTAGTTAAGTTATGCCCATAACTATAATAAACCAACAGATAAATCTTATAAAATAACAATGGAATCACAAAAAAAAAAGAAAGATAAGGGCTTAAGAATAATGAATATGTTTTTGATGATTGGAAAACATTTCTTAAAACTTGTAGCAAATTAACTAAAATTGTAAAGAAATGTAATTAATAATAAAACTTACACCAGTTGCAAGGTAGATATTATTGGCAACTTCACCTGTAATATTTTTCTTTCTCTCTATAATTAATTGATTTTTTAAAGTTATTAATGGTTTTGTGTGTCTTAGGATCCAGAATTTGAAAAATACATTGCATCTCCCTGGAATCTCAACAATTTGCCTGTGTTACCAGGCTCGGTATTCAGTTTTATTAATGCAGATATTTCTGGTATGAAAATACCTTGGATGTATGTTGGAATGTGTTTTGCTACATTTTGTTGGCATAATGAGGATCATTGGAGTTATTCAATAAATTATTTGCACTGGTAAGTATGATTTATTCTTATATATGATTTATTCTGATTCATTACAAAACTATTCACTTAATATAAAAAACAAGAAAGAACCATGCTCTCATCACATTATTTCACACTTTCAATGCTTCAGTCCGACATACCATTAGCAAGAAAATTTTATTTGCCGACAGCCTTTTAATTTTTATTATAAAAAATAAGACAATATACCTTAAATATGACATTTTTCAAAAATATTATTAAGACATATATTGGCGAGAGTTTACACTGTCTATTTCTGCTGGTAGTTAGGGCAGATATTTCGATGGGGAGATCATGGCCATTTCAGCAGCACGGTTTAGAATAGAGAAGGAACCCAGCTATCTCCAGATGGCGTTCTTCCTTGAATCACAAGCTGCCATAATGAAATGAAATGAAAAAATAATTTTATTCTGTGACTAAAGTCCCCTAAGAATAATAATAACATGGTACAAAACATTGGTCCATTAGTCTGGCTTGACAAAATACCTAGAGGTTCTTGTCATTTGAATGTTAATTTTAATTGCTATTGCAATCATACTTCAACTATCAAATAAACAAAGTAACACTAGTACATTTTATATGGTTTACATGTATTAAATAAAATAAAATAAAATAAATGAAATAAAATGAAACTTTTCGATTAATTGTTAGTGAATAGTTTTAATTACAGAATCCAATTAGCATTACATAGGTATGGAAGTTTGAAAATGAAGTATGTGGTGGAATAAGAGTTGTTTGAAGGAATTTATGGATGAGGATTGCCATATGGTGATAGGTATAGAATTCTAGAAGGAGATAGTATGAATGCTGAACAATATGCTGAAGGGTGTAGTTTTATGAGAAGGGATATATAAATCAATACTGGCGATCTGCAGTGAAAATGGCCTGGATCATTCTAATGTCTTAGATGGTAGGCATCACATTGCAAGGAATTCGGGTTACATTCCACTGGATTCCAAGCCATTGCAGCCAAGAAACGGAAAAGCTAATGAGCTTGCTTGAATCAGCTTGGATATTAATAGAAATGAATAGTAATAATGATAGTAACAATTTATTATTATTAAAATGCTAAATCCGGGAATTGCCACTAACTACTTTCGAAGTCCTCAGAATGCTTTATCAAAATTAAGGAATAAAATTTATGAAATTATAGTATTCAACATGGGAAGTGCTGAAAGCATTTTATTAAACCAAACTCTTGTTTATATGGGAACCCTTAAACAAAAATTAGCAGTGTACGCTAACAGGATCAGGAGATATACTGTAACTCAAAATTGAAGGAGTCAAAATTGTATATTTGATACTAGAGAAAAATGTTTTATAAGATCATAAAACCTTAAGAGAATGAAAAAAAAATGTCTACTCAAATCCTTTATAAATATCACAATATTGGAAAGGAATTCAGAAAAAAAAAAATGCATGTTGATTCGAAAATATTCGCTGTAGCCTATCTAACTTACAACCTATAAAAGCAACCAGTATCACTGTGGAAGATGTAGCAAAGTCACTCAAGCAAATGAAAAACTGGAATGTTTCTGGGCCAGACACAATAAAAAATTAATGGCTGAAGCATTTCAGCATTATTCACAGTTATCTGGCTTTTTGGTGTCAAAAACTATTATCTGAAGTGGTTGATATTCCTGCAAACTTATGCACAGGCATGACTTATTTAATAAGAGAAGTAAATAAGGAAAAATTAGAGTCCAAGGATTTGATACCTATAACATGTCTAAATGACGTATACAAGCTATTAACAGCTGTCATACCAGAAAAAAGTTGACTGACTACATTCAGGAAAAGGCCATCATTTCAGTGAGATAGCTAGGTAATAAACCAGGTTCAAGAGGATTCAAAGAACTTTTGTTAATAGATTTGTTTATTGTAGCTCTATTTTCAAAAAGGTCTCATAATATTGCTTTATCTTGCATTGACTTCTGTAAAGCATTTGATTCAGTTCCACATACTATTAAATTTAAACTTTTTTGAAAAATTAAAATTTTGAATCCAACGAATCATGCCAATGCTATTGTTTAAAATACTATTTAATTGTACTTGTGTGAAAGAAGAAGTGAAATATTAAAATATTTCATGGATATGTTTATAACCTTAAATACTTTTACTCTAGTTTAATAACTCTCGGTGGAAGTTTCTCCCGGCTAAGTCTGATGGACTCATGGATTCATAGCGCAAGTTGAAAATTGGGATTTAAATATTGGTACGTGGAACGTAAGGAGTGTAAACTCAGCAGGGGGTTTAAAATCGGTCGTGAATGAGGCTAATGGTTACAAATTGGATGTTATTGCTCTGCAAGAAGTTCGCTGGCCAGGGGAGATCTCGATGAGGTAAGGAAAGTACATTAGTTGGTACGGAGGAAGCGAGAATCATTATTTAGGTACCGGGATTCTAATTAGGAATACATTGCTATCCGCTTTGAGGGACGTACAATTCTTTAGTGATAGAATTTCAGTAGCTATATTTCAGGGACGGTGGTTTAAAATCGCATTAATAAACATACATTGTCCAACCGAAGTCAGTGATAAACTCGAATGGGTATATGATAAACTACCACGAAACTCCATGAAAATAATTGTAGGTGACGCAAAGTCTATGTTCTGACGATTGGTAAAGAAAGTTTGCACGAATATAGTAATGATAATGGGATCCATCTGATCCCAACTTTGCCATCTCGAAAAACTTGATAATTAAAAGTACTATGTTTAAACGTAAGGATATTCATAAATATACTTGGACATCACCGGGTTCGCTAACATGAAATCAAATTGATCATGTCTTCATACAACATAGCTGGCAAGGTAGTATAATTAATGTACGGTCTTATCGCAGAGCAGAATGTGGATCGGATTATGAATTAGTTATCACCAAACTTCTATAAAAACTTTATTTAAAAAAGAGAAAAGAAAACCGTTTCGATGTTGAGAATTTTAATTTGGAAGAATTAAAAAATCCATCAATTAGAACCCAATTCGAGCTAGATGTTAAGAATAAGTTTGAAGCTTTAGAGCTTTCTGAGGAGGACTATGAGGATATTGACAAGTTATGGAAAGAGACCAGGGATAATATTAAAGCAGTCGGTTACTTGTGTCTAGGAAAAAAGGAAAATAAGAATAACAAACTGTGATTTGATGAAGATTGCTTAAACATGTTCAAAAAAAGAAAAACCACTAAATTAAAAGCTCTAAATAATCCTAACGAAGGCAATCTGGAATACTTCCGAACCTCAAAGATTGAAACGACAAAATTGCTCAAAAATAAAAAAAAGGGTGATTATTAAAAATAAAATAATTGAAATAGAAACTAATAGAATCGAAAATAACGTAAGAGACATATACAAAGGTATAAACAGATTGTGTAAATGTTTAGGGCCTGTCATGTCTGGAATTAGTGGGATGAAAATAACAATATTCTGATCGATCCGGTTGACATATTAAATAAGTTTAAGAACCACTTTGACAATATTTTAAATACGGGAAATTATGATCTTCTGTGTCCTCCTTCTGAGTACCAGAGTGCTGAACTGTTAATAGAAGAACAGAGTAAAGGGGAAGTTGAAGTAGCTATAGGAAAATTAAAATCTTATAAAGCAGCGGGAACCGATAATATTCCTAGTGAACTAATTAAGGCATACGGGGAAGCTGGAGTTTCTAAAATACATTGGTTGGTTAAAAAGATCTGGGAGAATGAGAAATTACCTGAAGAATGGGAAGAATCTATTCTTATTCCGATTCACAAAAAGGGCCTGAGGACGGATTGTAATAACTATCGAGAAATTTCACTCCTTCCGGTATGTTAACTAGTAGAATCACAGAATACGCCGAGGAAATTATCGGAGACAACAAATGCTGATTTAGATGGAATTGTTCGACTATTGATCAAATATTTTCTTTACGGCAAATATTAGAGAAAAAATTAGAGTACAACGGTATTGTTTACCAGCTGTATATTGATTTCAAAAAGACTTACTATTCTATTGACAGCCAGAAACTGTATAATATTCTAATTGAGCAGGGGTTTCCAAAAAAACTACTAAATCTAGTCAGAATGTGCTTGACGGAAACACTCAATAAAGTTAGAATCGGTAATAATCTTTCCCAAAAGTTTGAGGTTCGTTTGGGTTTAAAACAGGAGGATTCCCTTTCGCTTGTCCTGTTCAATTTGGCATTAGAACATGCCAATAGGGAGGTAATGGGTACCAAAAAAGGGTTGGATCTGGGTGGGACAACACCCGTGCTGGGCTATGCGGATGATCTGGAAGACATGGAAACTATAAAACTAAATACGACAACATTAATGAATGCCAGTAAAGAACTAGGGCTCGAAATAAACATGGATTAGACAAAATATACGGTTAGCTGCAAAAACGGCGATATTACTGGTAATATCGATGTAGATGGTAATATGTTTGAACATATAGAGAACTTTAGGTATCTATGGTCTACGATAACTAGAAAAAACGAAATTGAAGAAGAGATTAAGGTTAGACTGAAGGCGGGAAATGCTTGTTATTTTTCTGTGACAAAACTACTTAGCTTGCGCCTCTTGTCTTGGAACTTAAAAATTAAAATCTATAAAACCATTACTTACCTACAGTTCTTCATGGATGTGAAACGTGGCCGCTGACATTAAGAGATGAGAAATGTCTTAAGGTTTTTGAAAATTAAGTATTGCGTAGAATATTCGGACCAAAGAAGGATGAATTAATTGGAGAGTTCAGACGGTTACACAACGCCAAATTGCGTGAACTGTATCCTGGTAATATAATTGAGGTGATTTCATCCTGGCGAATCAAATGGGCTTGTAAAATTGTTGGGCTTAGTAACGACAGAATTCTTAAAAGGTTAATATTTGCTGTACTGAATGGTAAATATCTGAGGGGTAGACCGAAGCGAAGGTGGGAAAATTGCATTAAAGCCAATCTTAAAGGACTAGGTTTGGATGGTGAACGGTGGAGGGAGATGTATAATAAGCGATTG